CATCCACTGCAGGTAACGTTAGCGTTGTCATACGGAGTTTGATCATAAGAACAGGATAATCAATGAAAAATGATCTCTAAGATAATTGTTGTCCAGAAGTCTGCCGTCATTATCAAGACAGCACGGCTGGGTTATTGTCCTTAATTAGAGGCTTTAGTAAATGGACTCTTTCTCCACCTCGTTTCATTTATTTACTCCTCTTGTGAGAAACCTGGCATGCTTTGCACTTGGAAAGCTCAAGTGACTAGAATATTCCTTGGCCTCCTCTTTTGTCAGTGAAATGCAATTATATCTCTGACAACAATGGAGGATTTCACCAAACACACACTAGCTGTGCGTGTTTCTCTTCTTTGTCTCTAATCTGTGGATCTCAGCCACTATTATTATCCCACATCATGTTTAGGCAAATGGCCTTGTTTCTTTTGATAATTGCATTTAATTCTGCATCTGCCACTGATGCCAATGATGCTTTTTTTCTCTGGTCTATACTGTGTGATGTGTTTGTTGTCAGCAATGCCTCAGGTGCAGAAATGAGATGAAGTTCTGCCTGGTGCTGTCTGTTTTTGTCTTTACGACTGCTGCTGCCTGCTGTGTAAGAATAGTTCCCTGTGAAACCGTTATAGTTCTTCACAGCTACTTAGAAGTTTTGTGAAATGTGTTCCATTTCCCCAAACACCTTCTCTCCAGTGTACGGTGGCTACTGAAAACCCATCACATCCTGTTCAGAAAGCCGTCTTTAAAAGTCATTGAGCCATTGAATCTGCTGCTCAGCATGCTGATGGATCACCTTGACGGCGTTTGCAAGCAAAGTCCGTATTTTTTGTAGTCTTTTTTTGAATCCACCAACCAATAAAATCAAGATCAGAAACTTTGCGCATTGAGTCCGATGCATTTTATTGTTCTGTGTGAGACAAAACTGAATTAATTACGTGGGTCCCAAACGGGGCTAATGAATGAATGGCATTAGCAAGAAGCTATGGTTTAGTTGCCTAGAGCACAATCCCTCCTCTCTGATCTTTCCTACGTCCTTTGTTTTGGAACCATGCATTATTCCAAGCTATTCTGCGATCACGTCAATTTAAATTCTGCATCTCTGTATTCTTTATTTTGTTTGTCCTTAAGTGCTTTGTGCTGGGAGATGAATGAACAAACATCACATGATGTTTTGGATGATGTTTTCATTTACGGTGGCACCGAGCCGTCAAACAACACTGACTGATGCAAAAAATGTAGAAAATTCAAACCCGTTAAGAAAACTTTACAGAGGAATAAAGTTTCGGAGTCGGCGTGTAAATATGATTGACACAATATGAGGTTGTTTACTTTTAAAATGTGCCACAATTACTGCCAAAAAATATGGACTTGGTGTGCAAATGTTAGGGCAGCAGAACAGGTGAACCCAAGTGCAGACACAGACGAGGAGGCAGGAATGAAGACGAACACAGCGATCGTGTGTCTCGCGCACCTAAACAACCACACAAAGACCGTGCTGAAGAGGTGGTCCCGGTCCGGTTACAAATGGTCTCTGATTCGGTTCATTTGTTTGGGGACCATGATCTAACCTCGATTGTGTCCGTCTTGCCTTGAACCTACTCTCGTAGCCTGTGTACTTTGTGTGTATTTTCGAGCTGCAGCCTAGTTTTCAAACTGTATCGTTTGCCTAAATATAAATGCAAACAATGTAATAAATTATGACCAAGAAGACCAATAAATAAAACCGTGTTGTTGTCCCTTCATTGTGAAATTGGAAAGTAGCGCGTTCATCTATTTCCGGAACAGAACGGAGTCTGCTCTTCTTCTACCCTCTGTTTACCTTGAATGTAAACTCTGACTCAGTAGAGAGCATTTTCCTTGAGCATCACAAGGTTTAGTCTGCTTTAAATGCTGCTGTGTGAACACAAGCAAACAAACTACAAGAAAACACCCTCAGGCATTTAAAAGATTGCTTTGCCCAAATTACAAAAAACACCTTTGCCTCTACCTCAATACAATAGAGTTCATTTTGAAATTACATTTAAAGATTTTCAACAGCGACATTTCTTTCTCAAAGCATTTCCCCTCATATACCCGGCCTTCATGATGGCTTTCCACCGTTTTACACGTCTATTGCCCAGTTTCAGTCTGGACAGCTGTGTACACACATGTAACTGCAACCTGAAGTGTATTTTTTACCCTTTGAGTGTATTTCTTTTCCCGACTTACCCCTCATGTCCATCTGATGGAGCTGGGCTGTGTTTTGGTTGCTCCACATCTCCATCACGCTTTCAATGTCCTCTGAAGTTTCAGGGATTTAAGGTGTCTTCCAGCATTCGTTTGTCAGTTAACTCCCAACTGTTCCCCAAAGTTCCTGGCAGAGTCACTGCCCATCTTGCACCTCGGGCTGAAAACCACCTTTCTGCATTTAGGACACTTTGAAAAGTGAACATTTAGTCCATTTTACGTTATAATCATAGACTGTATATAAGAAGTGGACATAGTCATCGTGACGTCACCCATTGATTTGTGGACTGCCGTTATGAAGCTTGGAGTTCAACGATTTTGCCGTCGCCATCTTGGCTATTTTGCAACCGATGAACAGAAGATACCTAATAAACATCATGATGTATTGTGAAGAACACTTGAAACTAGACATTGGGTCTATGGGTTACCAGGCCTGGGGCAGAGTGAGGGTATAAAAGGATGTACATTTCCATTGTGAAGTTAGTTGAACCTGGGACAACTCAATTTGCTTGTACTCTGTGATGCAAAGAAAACTACGTGGAGTGAAGACAATCCAATCTCTATTGTGTTCTGTGGGTGTCCATTACTGACTTCCTGATAGTGAGACCCTGTGGTGTTTCACCATTAGTCAGATAGCTAAAAGTTATTAAGTTAGCAGTAAGATATTAAGACTTGAGCATAATCAACAAAGCTGCTTATCAAAAATCAACCACTACACTGCGCGGGTGTTTGTTGAGATGTAAACAGGTAAAGGACGTGTTAACATGAGTGGGAGAGGACTGACTGGGATTTCTGCAGAGGTCAGAGATGTGCTTGACATCTGGGCCGAAGAGAACAGAATATGCTAAATAAAGTAAAAATAATGACATTTTTAAAGTCATTCAAGATAAACTGGAGGAGAAGGGATTCATGCTCACAGTACATCAACTCCCAGTAAAAGTTAAAAAAAACTCAGCAAATTGCTTCTTCTATTTGGTCCATTTTAATTTGTGCGCTGTGAAACCGCACCAGGCGAAATAGAAAACGATAGGAAGTGAAAGTGTCCTTAAAAATCAGAACAAAAGTTAAGAGTTCTACTGGACATGCTAAGTGTTGTTTTGTCAGGAACCCACGAGTACCTACTTCGTTACTTTTTCTGGTGATTTCTTGACATTGTGACCTGCTGGTTGAACTTGTGTTGCTACGTGTAAAGAATAAAAGCAGATTCAAACTAAATACGAGGTTAGAATGTGAAAGGGCCAGAGCCGACTCTATCTGCTGAGGAAACAGGTCTTTTGGAGTGCAGGGAGCTCTCCTGAGGACCTTCTTTTAGTCTGTGGTGGCATCAGCCATCTTCTATGGAGTGGTCTGCTGGGGCAGCAGCATCTCGACAGCTGACAGGAACAGACTCAACAAACTTGTCAAGAAGGCCAGCAGTGTGCTGGGGTGTCCACTGGATACGGTGGAGGTGGTGGGAGACAGGAGGATGATGGCTAAGCTATCATCCCTGATGAACAACACTTCCCACCCCATGAGAGACTCCCTGGCAGCTCTGTGCAGCTCCTTCGGACACCGGCTGATTCACCCCTGTGAAGGAGAGGTACTGCAGGTCCTTCCTTCATATACATACATATACAGTATATATATATATATATATACAGTATATATATATATATATATATATATATATATATATATATGTATGTACAGTATATGTATATGTGGTGTGTGAAGGAGAGGTACCGCAGGTCCTTCCTTCCTGCTGCTGTCAAGCTGCACAACCAGCTGTGCTCCCAGTAGACCACACAACACTAACAACACTAAACATCTGTGCAATAATTACACTGTGCAATAACAAAATACTCTGTATATATAATATTTTTATTTTTAGTTATATTTAGCTATTGTGGATTTTTGTACTTTTTTACTTAGTTGATACTCTTACTGTTTATATATTATTTATATTACTTGTTGCGCTTGTTTTTTACTCTGTACCTTGTTGCACTGTCCACTTTGCTGCTGTGATCCTGTAAGTTTCCCCACTGCGGGACTAATAAAGGATTATCTTATCTTCTCTTAACAGTGCAGGGGGCTTCAGGTCCTATTTGCTTTGCTTACTCCACAGCAGAAAACAGAACTTCACACTTGCAAAGTGTGGCTGTCTTATCCGAGTGCTGACCCAGATGTAGACGTTCTGTTAATCTGTTCTGTGGAAGTCCTGAGCTGAGGGTCTGGTGCTGGCTTTTCACATACAGTTTCTGTGAAGCCCCGTGATGAAAGGGTCGCACTAATAAACGTGGCCATTTGTTTTGGCTTTTTGGGGGGTCCTGCGGCAACCAGAGGCGATGCTGAGTATTTATACGGAATAATGAAACGTCTTATGTGGCTCCAAAAGAAAAGGAAACCCAAAGATGTGAACCAGGAAGACATCATATATATGCATTGGATGGAACGGAGAAAACAAAACAGTGTTTCTTTTGTTTGTTGGCTTTTTGTGCGAAAGCAGAATAAATTACAAGAGAGAAGCAAGAAAGAACAGCATGTCCTCTCCGTCTACAGCGTTCAGCCTCTCTCTGCGTCCTCCTGCTCTGCTTGTTGTTTAAATTCTCAGACTCTTCTCTGCCTTCAAACTGGTCCTATCAATGCCTCCATTTCCTTCTCTGTCTCTTCCCCTCCCACCATCTAGAAAGGTCTGTTTCCTGAAACCTCAATAGGAGTCCTCCCTGTGTTTCAAACAGGGACACTATGTCTTTCCTCACTGGAGATCAGTGAAGTGTGTTTTTCTGTCTCCCCTCCATCAGTCTGACGGACAGTGAAGCCGGTTTACCCTACGACAAGGAGTCCATGGCCATCATCCACCTGAACAACACCACGGTCATGTACCTGAAGGAGGTCACCAAGTTCCTCGCTATGGTCTGCTTCGTCCGTAAGGAAAGTTTTGAGAGAAAAGGTAAACTAGCATGAAGTTGCGAATTGGGAGGAGCGGTTTGGGGCGCCCCTGGTGGAGGAAGTAAAGGTCCCGTTCATTTTTTCACATACACAATGTCAGGTGACTCACAGTTGGAGTATTTCTACGGCTTGCATCGGCGTGAAACTTTCCCGATTCAATGAGCAGCACAAAAGTTTAGGAGCTCTATTTGAGATCTGGTTCTGTGATAAAAAAGTTGAAAGTATAATCTTGTGTATATAAAAAACTTTAAGGTAGATGCTAACCCTGACTCCATGGGGTATTTCAGCAAGAAACATCCAAATCTTAAAATTCTACAAAGTGCCCAGCTAACACTTTCTCACTCTGAACTCGTCAAATACCAACGCTTGCTCAGTGGTCCTACTCTTCAAACTATCAAACTAGGTTCCCCCATAGCATCAGTTTTGGACGTGTCAGGGACGGCATGTCAGTTTCTATCCGTTACATATGTACTGTCTTTTCAAAATAAACTTACCTGTGTTAACAGGAAACGTACAGTTTCCACTTGTTACAGCATTCAGTGTCTTTTCAGAATAAACTTCCAACTAAAGTTTACTAAAGTTTTAGGTTTATTTGCACACAAAAAACAACTGTTGTTTAGTAAAAGATTGTGGTTCAAGTTGAAGTAACTTTTGTTACGTGAAATTAGTACACATGTTAAGCAATTGGCGTAAAGTATGAAAGTTACGTAACAAAACTACAATAAAAAAAGTCAACGTTTCACAAAGGACACGAACGGCGGTCTCCTTGGTGAAAGTTATTTGACCCATCCAACCTCCATTGGTAGCTGTTGTGACATCACTCATGGTTCGTGGACTACGGTTTTGAAGCCTCAAGCTTGGCATTTTGGCCGTCGCCATCTTGTTTTTTTCAACCAGTGAACGGAAGACCATATTTGGACTTAGGAGGAGTCACGTAGAGACGCCATATAAGGCTCTGGTTGAGATCTGTCAATCACAAGGTAGCCCCGCCCTAAAGCATCCCCTGCTTTATGGTCTATTTGACTCTAAATGGACCATCATTTACTAAATGAATATCATGATGGATTGAAGAAGACTTGAAACTAGAGATTGAGACCATAAACTCATGTTTACAATGTTTACTGAGGTAATAAATCAAGAGAGAAGGAGAGTCATTTTCTCATAGACTTCTATACAATCAGAGGAGTCGCCCCCTGATGGACATTAGAGAGAATGCAAGTGAAATTAAGTCACTTTTGCATTGGCTTCGCTTCTCAGAACGGGAGGTTGCCTCCTGATCCAGATACTAAAGGGTGCGTGGATATTAGACGCTGAGAGCCACTGACCAGGCGTCTGTATTTGACGGGTTGGGAGTGAGACTGGTGTGGCGAAGCTAACGGCTGGTGGGAGCTAAAGATAACAGTGTCAAGAAATGCGCAAATGCAATCAAAACTTGAATCAATTCATTTTTAAGATGTTGAGTTGATTGTTGTTGAGTTCAGAAAATATGCTGATGTGGTTTGCTTTCAACTGTAACAACGAAACAGTTATGAACTGAATCGAATTGCCTGCGATTCGAAAGAAATAAACGTGCCTCATGGCCTAAGTCGACTCACAGCCTGAATAACTTCTGTATAGATTATTTTGTCCCTGTAAAACAGACAAAAGGAAGCACAACTCAGTGGGTTTGTGTGAATTCTCTTCTGTCACTACACTGAGACAGAAGTGCCTGCTTCATAATGATGGAGCAGGCAGGTCAGCTGCTGGTAGCTGCCCTGGAGCAGCAGGGGGCTCCCTGCCTCTCTGAAGGGTACTTATCCACTGGCTGGTGATGGAAGAAAAGGGCAGCGTTCACTCCCAACATTGTCACACAGGCTTGGGCATAGGTCAACCTCTGCAGCAGCAGATATCTGCATTGAGCTATCTTTCAGAATATCTAACAGCTTATCTGTCAGTGCTTTGTTTGTAGCTGCTGATTCCACTTGAAGGACCTAAAGTAGCACCTTTCTAGAGATAAATAGCTGTAAAACATGCCTATGTGTCTCACTGACTGTCAGTCACATGAAGTGGAGCTGCTCAGCAGGTGTGAAGCAGCATCCTTCTGATGTCCTCAGTGACTTAATGTACCTAATGTCTGCTGTTTACTCTCATTGCTTCGGTAGTTATCTTTATACAGGTACATTTTATTCAGCAGTCTGATACATTTCTCTCAGTTCATATATATTCAGAGGCCTGGAGCAGTCTGTGTCTTACAGTAGGGCATTAGGCTGAATGCCTAATGTATGTATATGTACTAAGATTATAATAAAGCTCTGTTATTTTGGTCAAATTTTGTGTATTATTTTCCTGCTATGTATATGTATATATATAAAATACTATATATATATATATTTTCATTATATGTGTCATTATACTATATACTCTAGCGAGGGATTTGGACTATTTTAATTTAACATACAATTAAAAAAAGTCATTTTACCTCGCTGATTGTAAGACACACTTCATTCAAGCTAAGAGACAAAATTCAACAATAAGAAAAAACGTCTTTGTTAGTCTTTCCACTGATCCAACAATCATCAAACCTGGTGTGGTCAAAATAGACCTTTAAAGCTAGGGTTGGTAATCTTGAAAAACAAGTAAGAGTACGGCAGATTTTTAAATTCATCAAACAGAAAAACCCAGCCTCGTGTTGCCAACTTCTTTTCAGTAAAAGTAGCTAGAGGCTGTTGTGAAGTAGAGCTTCTAATTGACGACCAAGACACATCTGGTTTTGAACGGAACACTTTACATCCTGAAACTGCAGTATAACAACTGTTACAGTAAACAGACCCGCGCTCTTGCACCCGACATATAGGTTTTTTCTTATCATCATCACGCGTTGTCGTGAAGAAGCACGTATCATGCTACTTCCTGTCTCTTCACAGTAAAATCACTTCCGTTTTCATGCTCTTCACAATAAAAGTAAACATGCAATCAAACTATTTACAACAGAGGCACCAGCTCCAAAAGTCGCTAAATCTAGCGAGAAAGTCGCCAAGCCGGCAAACCTGAGAGCCTGTCCCTTCAGGCCTCCCTCCAAAGCCACTCCCCATAAATGAAAGCCTTGGAGATCTAATATGAGTGAATATTCAGCAAAGGGATTGGCGATTTCTCGACTGTGGGTGTTTTAGGAGCGCAGCGTGTATCACACGCATCCCTGAACATCCTCTGAACAAAGGAATCAGAACAATGGAGCAGTCGCCCACAGTGTACCCTACCTCATCTGTGTAAGGTGTGTTAGGATAGCATGTCACTATGTGTCCTCTTTACCTTCTCAAATCACCCAGCAACTCAGAATAAGAGGAAGAAGTCTGTCTTCTCTCACGCTGCATTATTTCTGAACAGTTTGCTGTTGAAGCCTTTCTGTGAAGTCATTTTTATTCACATTGTTCTATTTATTGTGTTGCTTCACAAAATGATTTGTCCCAATCAAGTGTAAATAGAGATTGTTAGCGTCTCTTGATCTTAAACGCTCTGAAGCTGACATCTGCCTGTGTTTCAGATTTTATTCATTTCATCATGTAGTCATTATCGGGATTATGAGCATTAACATGTGTGGCATCACAAGGGGCCAGGTCAGGGGTGGGCAAACTTTTTGGCTCGGGGGCCACATTGAGTTTTAAAATTTGACAGACAGGCCGGGCCAGTAGCAGATGAATGGAGTGTTTGTGTGAACTAATATAAATTACAAGTAAAAGCCATGACCTAAAAAGTAACTTGCATTTAATTTCAGTGGGAACAGTGTTGTTGGTCACCCTTTTTAACCAGTGCGTCAACGTTTGGTGTCAGTTTGGTTGTGGCAATTCTCGAACAGATCTGAGGTGTGCATCAGTTAGCTGGGATCTTACACGGTATTTTTTTTATCGCATTAATGCATATTTTATCGTGCACTTACTTATTAAGCAGTTATTTTTGACACAGTGTTTTTAGTGTAAAGGTTAATAACTGTGGTCTTTTTATCAGTTTGATTCTTTGACCAGATCATACAAATATTTCACATCTAACATTATAAGAGTTCTGCTCTGTAATGTCTTTCCTTGTCTCTCCCCCCTGTGTCATGGTGTGGGTACATCTCACTGGTGTCAGGAAGCGTATCAGAATACCCTTATTTTATTGGCTAAACTGCATCACGTGACGTGATTTACAACACATTGGTCGGTGTTTTTCCTGCACCGCTGAACAAGTGCCGTAAAAGCTGGAAAGGAGCGTGAATAACTCCGCTGCATAAAGCAAAGACCCGCGACCCACTGAAAATGGGTCCGCGACGAACCACCAGTTGAGAATCACTGGTCTGCAGGATCGTGACGAGCGGTGAACAGCTGTTTGTGTGGCGTGTCTTCCGTCTCTTCCTGTTTCCTTCACCTACATTCCCCTGGGTCCTAAGCCCCTCCATGTACAGCTTATTATCACCCTCTTTGCACCAATGTACATTTATAACAAATGCCACACATATTACACGGTAATCAGCTTTGCATATGTGTCTTTGCATATGCGGTCCGTATCCGGCCCGCGGGCTGTAGTTTGCCCATGCCTGGGCCAGGTGGTAGATGGGTGCTACATTCCCTTCAATGAACAGCAGCCACATCACAAAATGGCCGCCGAGGCACGAACTACAGCTCCCAGAAGGCCTCGCCACTCACCCAGGTGTGGGTATTTAAGTCACCTGATTAAGACAGGACCGGAGACAGGAGAGCTGCAGGAGGAGAGGGAAGAGAGCACACGGCTGGAAGGAGAGCCAAGAACTAACCTGTACTGGAGAACGGCATAAAGAAAAGTACCGAGCCAGACTGAGGACCCGGTGGCCGGTGAAACCGAGGACACACGAAGTTGACTTTTGTTAATACTGTTCCGTTGAACGAAGCATTATCTCTTCTTGGACACTTTTTGTTGGTTTTGGACTTTTTGAGTTTGATAAAAATAATTTGCTGAGTTGCCAGTAACCGAAGAATAAAACTTGACATTTTTCTGGGAACCTATGATTTTTGCCTGTTTTTGTGAATTTCCTTGCCCCACCCCACCCTAGCCTGCCGTACTGACCTCAGGACATTATACATGGAAGTAAAATACTTATAACAACAACATAGTTTACAATTTACAGGTATGGTGAAGATTATTTCCCACCACTGAGCTCTGCTTTCATTCTCTCATGACATCAGACTCACACTGAGGAGAAATTCACTTTCACTCTTTCCCTCAAAGTAATCTCATGGTAAAGGGGTACTCTTCAGTATTGCTTCTTCATAAAGTTGGACAAGAGACATATTTTTAAAACTCCTGAATGTCTTGGTATCAAGCTGTCAATAGTTTTGTTTTTAGTCAAAGTATTGGACAAAGAAGAATTTGACTTGATGTGAATGGAGATGAAAGGTCAGAGGATCCCCAAAGTCAGTCAGGCTCATCCTCTGGAGACCATGACTGTCTTTACCATCTGTTGTTGAGATATTTCAGTTTGAACCGTGGTTGACCGATGGGCCGACACTTCCAAACCTACAGCCTCACTCTTGGTTATTGTCTTGGTTGCTCTCTGCATGCCAGTGTCTGGACATTTACAGTCTGTCAAAGATGGTTTTGTGGAAGACAGAGCGTCACTCTGTGTTAATTTGATGTTTGGAAAAGTGGGCTGTCTCTTTTAGCTGATCAAAAAGGTGGGCGGTCTTCTCTATTAGTGACAGGTAGCTAGCAGGTAGTTGACAGTTGGAGTCTTGAGAAAGGTGTAAAGGTCATGAAAACAGCTTTTTTTCAACTGAGAAATCTTGCATCTTTTATGAAAATAACAATTAATCTGGCATTTAATTTGGGGTAATCCAACCTCTACAGCTCTTCATTTTTTTATTTTTGCTACGTATATCATTTTTTTCTTATCTTGTTATCTGGTATTGTTGTGGAAAAATTTACTTGTTATTGGTGTTTTTTGCTGTGGAACTTCATCGGCTTTTATGTTTCATAAAGACAAAGATAGTCTTTCCCACTCCGACCTGTCCAGTAACAGACTTGGTGTCCTCTCTCTGTTCCTCACAGGACTGATCGACTACAACTTCCACTGCTTCAAGAAAGCCATCCAGGAGGTGTTCGACGTTCGGGTGAAGGTTCAACAGAATCGCAAACTTCTCAGTCAGAGGAGGTGGAGCAAACTGACTGTGACCAATGGGGTGCTCAGTAACCCCCGCTGAGGAGCGATGACATCACACCGGACAGCCAGGTGTACCTGAGCTGCACCCCTACACATCCGGGAGACTCAGCTACTTATGAACACATTGACCAACCCCCCGTCCTCTCTGCTCGGATGTCGATTTTGGGCTCAGTCCAGCTCCGAAGAACTGGTATGTTCTTCGGAGCCCAGTTTAACATTTCTTTCAAATTAAAAGTATGCCTATAAGCAGTTTCTGTTTGTATGTTATGTCCCAATGAATGTACAGACAATTACTGGATTACTTTGACACTGAAGGGAATAATTCATAAACCTGATGATTTTTAATACATTTTTTTTTTATTACACTATATTGATCCCTTTCAGGGAGGAAATTTGTCTCTGCATTTGACCCATCCCTGTATATAGGGAGCAGTGGGCTGCCAATGACAGGTGCCCGGGGAACCCTGTCAGTTGGGTTCCGTGTATTGGTCAGGTACACTTCGACACGTGACACGTCCCAGTAGAGGATCGAACCGTTGACCTTCCTGTTCTCAGACAACCCTCTTAACACAGTGAGCCACGGTCGGTCCATTTTATGGATGTTTATGTCTTTGAGAGACTTTACTGTGTCATCTACAAAGACATTGGCACTGTGAAACCGAAGTGGGCCGAAGTGTGTTTTTCTAGGACTTTATGAAGGACACATGTCTTCTGACCACATCTAGGTTATTTGAATTATGGCAACTTGGTAATATTTTATAATCATCGTAGTTATTTATAGCTGTGATGACTGCAATCTTGCTACTTACCCTACTTTGAAAGATCCTTTTATGGTTGACGTCATTCAAACTATGCGTGCGCATGTTGGCAACTGAAGCGGCGTTTGGCCCAGCCTTTGAGATGAGTTAGCAAGCTCTTTAAAAAAACATCAAATTGTTACCAGCATCAAAGTGTCTGGTTGTTACATGTTCGGTTGTCACAATCGATATTCTAGCATCAGACTCAAGTTCTGCAGAATTCAGACAGGATCTTGCACATTTCAGTTTAACAGGTGACTATGTTAAGTGGTGACTTTCTGCCCAATGCATCTGTGGTTGCACATAGTAATGTATGTTAAGGGTTGGCAGGGATAATAAACCCAGATGAGTATGTATTTAACATGGATTGAAGGCTTTTACGAGGACACCTACGTTTCATGGGGTATGACGCTCTGTCCACTGATAACGTAGCTTGAAGCATCTAGGGACTTGTAGTTCGTAATGTCTCACTGCTGTAACGCTAAATACTTGTAGATATGTGGCCACTTGCTAATGTATTCTACATACTCACTAACTTCTAGTTTGTTTAGGTTACATTGGTCATCTTTGGTGGTCAATGCCACTGAGCACTGAGGGTAGCAGGCCTTTCTGTGAAGCGTGCTTGTATTAGACAGGCCTTTATTTACAATTCACTTTGTTTGATATGTTTATTTAGTCTTATTTTAGTATTCAATTCAATTTATTTTGTATAGCCCAAAATCCCAATTTACAAATTCTCGTCAGAGGGATTTACAATCTGTACACATGTGACATCCTCTGTCCCGGGACCCTCACATCGGAACAGGTAGAACTCCCCCAAAAGCCCTTTAATGGGGAGAAAATAGGGAGAAACCTGAGGGAGAGCAACAGAGGAGGGATCCCTCTATCAGGATGGACAGAAGTGTGATAGATGTCATGTGTACAGAATGAACAACATAACAGAGTTACAACACATTCAATGCATATGACAGAAGCACGGCAGGAGGCAAGGAGGCAATACACTACATGTATTATAATTTATAAAAATATTTTTCCCATTATCTTATTTTCTCATTGCACAGCTACTGTCTTCCTCAGTTGCTCTGCTTCCAGTGCAGCTTGTTTTAAGTAGAGCTTTTATCCAATCAGATTTCACCTCTGTGTCTCTTGGTAAAAAGAGAGGCCCGAGGCCTGCAGACTCACAAGTGCATCCCTTTGCAGTTTAAGTGAATGGGGACGATATTGTTGATTGTCATAGTGTTCAACCAATCAGATCATTAGTTTGACATGTTGGGCGTATTCTTTGACGTGTCAGAGCCTGCTAGCCGGCCTATAGCTATGTCAGCATTACGTACAGCTCAGTGTCCATGTGCAGCTCTGCCGCGAGGTGCAGACTGTGCTGTGATTGGTCAGTGGGTGAGCACGTGACTTTCGTGAAACGAAACTTAACAGCAGAGGCTTAGTCGGCGTTGTAAGCCTCGTACCGAACGGGAATACGTACATAGTTACAGCCTTATGCCGTGTTCACACCAATTCATGTCGCTGGTCTCGCCAGGGACTATTTATGTTCATTCGCGCGAATCGCGCGAATCGTGCTGGACCCGCCGGACAGGGGGCGTGGTTTATCGCCCTGAAAGCCGTTCAACTGTCCGCCATTAACCATGGAAAAAATAACCACTATTTCTGCTTAGTATGTGTTGTGGAAGTCACAGATATCCCGGGAAACTAAACGCCGTCATGTCTGGTTCATAACATTGTCCCGAGGAGCTCCGTGGATTTTATCGAGCTGTATTCACTATGTCTAGCAAGCCACACGTCGCTGTTTACTACAGCTGTATGAACACAAAATAAACTGATTTGGCTGTGATTTAACGGCAACAAACCAACAAAAAGGGACTCCGAAATAATTACGTAATGATGCCAATTTGTGGATGGATCGGTGCTAGGCTAAGCTAACATTGTAGCAGCTCCACCAACACTCAGAATAACGTCATCTAGACGTAAATACGGCAGCGTCTATTCACTGTTTCTACCGTATGGTTTACACACATACATTTATACATAGTTTGGTCTGGTCTCTATTGATATGAGGTATCGTAGAGCTCTGGGTGAACACAGACGGCTACAGTATTTATTTCCTGTTTCAACAACGGCAGTCAGTGATGACAGGAGAAACATCTCAACGCTGATAGGCTATCGCGCTGGGGCGTAACGCGAATATTTCGGCGAAGTTGAAAAATTTCAACTCACGCTTTTGGGGCGATTTGGCGCGATTTGGCCGCGTCAATCGCGCCATCGCAAATTCGCGTCACTCCAGTCTCATCGCGTCTGTGCATAGACTTTGTATGTAATCTACTCGGATGAATAATTCGCGCCGCGTTTGGTGTGAACGCACCATTAGAATCAAATAATAGCTGTGGCGCCATCATGTGGTTATAAGGTGGTATTTCACCGACCCACACAGACACACACACCTGTAAAACAATACAAATAACAAATACAATTGCAAACAAGTTGTAAAGATAGGGCACATTTGGTTGCACCTAAGAAATAAAAAGAAAATAAAAATAAATCAGGCGGAACCGACGTGACATGCACTGTGTTTCAACCACACCCCCCAGAGCGGCTCATGTTACAGACCGACTAGCGGCAAAACCATAGAGAGAGAGAGAGAGAGAGAGAGAGAGAGCCAGGCAAGGCAAGGCAAGTTTATTTGTATAGCACATTTCAACAACAAGGGAATTCAAAGTGCTTCACATAAAACCATTAAAAGCATCAAAACATAAGGCAAAAGAAAAGGAGAGATTTAAAAACAATTAAGAACATTCATTGAAACACTAAAAAACAGTGTAGGAAATAAAATACAGTAGTAAAATGCAGAAATTGATTAATATCCTTGAATTTGGTTGAATTAAAAGCAGCAGCAAACAGAAAAGTCTTCAATCTGGATTTAAAGGAGCTGAGGGTCTCAGCAGACCTGCAGCTTTCTGGGACTTTGTTCCAGATATGTGGAGCAGAACAACTGAACGCTGCTTCTCCATGTTTAGTTCTGACTCTGGGAACAGAAAGTAGACCGGTCCCAGACGACCTAAGGGGTCGGATGGTTCATAAGGTAGCAGCAGATCAGAGATGTATTTTGGCCCTAAAGCATTCAGTGCTTTATAAACCAACAGCAGGATTTTAAAGTCAAGTCTTTGTTTGACAGGAAGCCAGTGTAAGGACCTCAGAACTAGAGTGATGTGATCCGCTTTCTTGATCTTAGTGAGGACTCGAGCTGCAGCGTTCTGAATCAGCTGCAGCTTTCTGACTGACTTTTTACAGAGACCTGTAAACACACCTTTACAGTAGTCCAGTCTGCTGAAGATAAATGCATGGACAAGTTTTTCCAAATCCTGTTGAGACATAAGTCCTCTTATCCTTGATATATTCTTCAGGTGATAGTAGGCTGATTTTGTAATTGTCTTGATATGGCTGTTCAGGTTGAGGTCTGAATCCATAAGATTTGTGTGTCTGCATAATTATGATAACACACTTTGTTGTTTTCCATAATCTGAGCTAGTGGAAGCATGTAGATGTTGAACAGAAGAGGCCCCAGTATTGAACATTGGGGAACACCATATGTCATTTTAGTCAGCTCTGATGTGTAATTAGCTACAGACACAAAGTATTCTTGGTCCTTCAAGTAGGATTCAAACCAGTTAAGTGCTGTGCCAGAGAGTCCCACCCAGATTTTTAGTCTTTCTAGTAGTATGCCATGGTCGACCGTGTCGAATGCAGCACTGAGATCCAGTAATACTAAGACTGAACTTCTGCCATTGTCTGTGTTTAAGTGGATGTCGTTGGAAACCTTAACAAGAGCAGTTTCAGTACTGTGGTGCTGTCGAAAGCCTGACTGGAAGACATCAAAACAGTTATTTACGGCCAAGAAGTTGTTCAGCTGTTGAAAAACCGCCTTTTCAATTATTTTACTTAAAATGGGAGGTTTGATATTGGCCAATCATTTTTCATTGTTGCGGAGTCTAAATTAGCCTTCTTTAGGAGCGGTTTAATCACTGCAGTTTTTAGGGCTTGTTTAAAGACACCTGAAAGAAGGGATGTGTTTACAATTTGTAAAAGATCAGTGGTCATGCAGTTTGAAATATTTTTGAAAAAGTGTGTTGGTAGAATATCCAAGCAGCAGGAGGATGACTTCAGATGTTTTATAATGTCTTCTAGGCTTCTACGGTTGATTGAATGAAATTGTGTCATGATATTTGAATGGATGTTATTCAGAGAAGGGGACAACACATATCCTGTGGTTGGTGTGGAGGCACTGACTGCTTCTCTAATTTTCTGAATTTGTCAGTAAAAAAGGAGATAAATTGATTGCATGCCCAGGTGGATTGGACCTCAGCAGCTACTGACACTGGAGGGTTTGTTAGCCTGTCGACGGTAGCAAATAAGCTGCGTGTATTGTTATTGGTTTTGATGTCAGAGAAGGACTGCCTTGCATTTCTAAGTTCCAAGTTATAATTGTGAAGTCTCTCTTTATAGATGTCACAGTGAACCTGGAGATTTGTTTTTCGCCACCTGCGTTCAGCTTTCCGCCACTCGTTTCTCTATTCTGACCAGCGTAGCATTTCTCCAAGGAGATCTTTGCTTACCCGAGACAACCTTCACTTTAGTGGGTGCAATGGCATCAATAATATTTTTAACTTTAAAATTGAAGCCATCTACAAGCTCATTGACTGAGATGCAAGAGAGGGCTGGTGTGGAGGAGAACTTCTGAATAAATAGTTCACTGGTCTTTTCAGAGATGTAACGCTTTGTCACAACCTCGGTTTGGACATTTGTGTGCAAGGAGATTGCACTCTCAAAGAAAACACAGAAATGATCAGAGAGGAAATGTTTAGACCTTTGGTGATGATTAGGTCCAGAGTGTGCCCCTGTTGTGGGTGGGTCCTAGGGCTGGGGGGTATACCGGTTCAACCGGTATACCGGTTTTAATTTCCCGTATGATATGAATTTTTCATATACCGTCATACACAGCCGAACAACTTCTGTCGCTCTTCAACAGGCAGCAAAATATATTGTTCGCCGCTGTGAGCGCTACTTCTTCTTCTTCTTCTTCTTCTTCTAGTTTTACGGAGGTTGGCAACCATCTTATTGGTGCAATACCGCCACCTTCTGCTCCGGAGTGAGGATCAGAAAATAGAAAATAGAAAATGAGAAGCTGTACTCGGAGGGGCTTAGGACCCAGGGGAATGTAGGTGAAGGAAACAGGAAGTGACGGAACGGAAGACACGCCACACAAACAGCTGTTCACCGCTCGCTGGCCGGTTGACCGGCCGGTTCTCTTCGGCGTTAATTAATTAATGCTTTAATGCGAAAAAAGAAATACCGTGATATACCGTGAAACCACCAGAATCTTACAAAATACCGTGATATGCATTTTTGGTCATACCGCCCAGCCCTAGTGGGTCCTGTCACATGCTGAGTCAGATCACAGTTATCAAGGAGCGACAGAGAAAAAGAGAAAAAGACAAGAGATAGGAAGGAAGCGATGTACCAAGATGGACAGATGTGTGACTGGTATAAAGTGCAAATCAGATGGCAAGTCTGTTACAGCTGTAACAGGCGACGCGACCACCACAACGGCACAAAAAAAGGTAAAAGCAAGAAAATATAACGAGGCGTATCTGTCCCTGGGCTTTACAAGCACTATGGCCGGCCAAGAAGAGAGACCCCAATGTGTTGTGTGTATTAACATACTGGTGGCAGACAGTATGAAGCCCACTAAATAAAGACCAAATACAGATCAAAGTTGAACATTGAAAATGAACTGAGAGGCTATCTCTAACCAGCAACCCCGCTGTAGGAGCTAGGTACGGCCTGTGCCATTTTTGTACACCCTTT